AGAAGGATGTAAGTATAGTGATTTAAGGGTGTGTGGGTTGTTAACAAAAATACTTTTATGGATGTATATTTCTTAGGAGATGGGGGTAGATCTCTAACACTCTGCTCTAGAGTTGAAACAAATAAAAGAAGATAAGAGAAAAGAAAGTAAGGAGATAAAAGCAGAGAAAAGAAAGGAAAACAAATTTGAGAGTAATGGAAGGAAAGCTACACATTTTATTCTTTATTTTCAAATCCTTCCGGAAAGAAAGTTAGGAGGGAAAGTGATCCTTTAATTTCCTTCCTTTAATGAAACTCGGAAGCATCAATCTCTCTTACTTTCCTCTCATTTCCACTCATTTCCTTTCTTTTCTCTCCTTAAGTTGAACTCGGGAGTGGGGTGTAAGAAAAAGTAGTTCTTTCTTGTCGTGCAAAATGGCTACTAAAACCTTTTTTATGTAACACCTAAAGTTTGAAAAAAAGAAAATTATGTTCTTTTATAAATTCTTTTTACATTTTTATACCATTAAACAATTCTTTACTTTTAATATGTAAAATGTTTTTGTTTCCTTATTGCACCATCTTTTTGCAATTTTATTTTAATTAATACAACTTGTTTTATAAAATTTCACATTTTAAATAACTTTTTTTAAAAAAATAAGATTGTTATTTTCTTTAAAAAATGCTTATAGTAAAACAAAAAATCACAAATAAAAAAGTATATAAAAATAAAGTTACAATTCCAAAAATAGGAAATATATACAAAGTTCCAACTCGTATACCATCTGAACTGTCCTTCAAGAAGCAACATAATCAACAAATCCTCTATACAATATGTTAGTTGAACAAGGGAACGTTATTCGTCCCACTGCAAATTTCCCACTTTGCATTTGGGGAGACCAATTTCTTCTCTATGACGAGGTATGCAAGTTACTAAAATTCATCATGAAAATAATGATATGGTTGGTTGCGTAAGCTTGATTAATCTGACATAATAAATTGATATTATGGATTATATATTTCTTTCACGATGTCACGAACTGCATGTACATATATATTTTGATGATTTGAGTATGTGTTTTTTACACAAGTGATGATTTGAGTATGATGTACGTAACTTATAATTATCGTTTCCATCTTTGATGGTGATGCACATATATACAAAATGAATCTTGAAGATCAAGTTGGGGTTGAGCAAGTTGTTCAAGACTTGAAAGAAGAAGTCAGGAAAGAATTCTTAACAACATTGAATGTTCCAGCTGAACATGTAAATTTGTTAAAACTAATCAATGCAATCCAACGCCTTGGCATATCATATTACTTTGAGGAGGATATCAATCAAGCATTGCAACATATTTATGTTGCATATGGTGATAATTGGAATTGCAATTGCAATTGCACCTCCCTTTGGTTTCGACTCATGCGACAAGATGGCTTCTTTGTTTCTTCTGGTCAGTGCACACACACACACATACACATATATATATATATATATATATATATATATATATATATATATATATATATATATATATATATATATATATGGTGATAGAACATATACATTACAATCTCACCTAAGCTTAAGTATTAAACCTCTAAATTATATCATTTTAACTTAGTAAATACACCCAGGTTGATGTTCAATTGGTAAATATATCATTTCCCATAACATTTTCCTCAATTATCTTTTAACCATCATTGTTTTCTTTCGTTCATTATTGTTAGTTACTTCACCCCAGTGTATATTATTTTTCACAATCATGAAAGTTGAAGATAATAAATAGTATTGTTTCCCTATCAAAAATTTTGCTTCAATCCTAAATCTGCAGGTTCAAATGTTAATCGTTAATCCCCTTATCACAATCTTTAGCTAATAAAACGATGTAATTTCATGAGGTTTTGTACATAAGTTGAGGTGGAGTTCTAATGTATATTCACGTTTCCATATATATATATATATATATATATATATATATATATATATATATATATATATATATGTGTGTGTGTGTGTGTGTATTTAAAAAAATGAAATTTTAGTTCAGATTTACATTGTAAATATGCTCATATTCACATTTTGAATAATAGTAAATCAGATTCACATTGTTAATTCTGAAAACTAAATTTTATACAGTTCAGATTCACAATATGAATAAATCCATTTGTTGATTTTATAAAATTAATTTACTAGTGCTCATAATAATCATAACGTTAAAATATTATCAAACTACATGGACATAAATTTTGATTCATATATAGATTTGACTTAATTTGTGAATGATCAAATAGATGAAATAGTAAGTCAGATTCATATTGTGAATGTTAAAATTAATATATTTACAGTATTGAGTTTTTTTTTTAAATCGATGTTGATGTATATTAATAAAGGGCAAAAGATTGAGATTTTTTGGTATAATTAGTTTTTTGGATAAAAATAAACTTAAATATTGAAAAAAAAAGTGATTTTTTTTCGAAAAAAAAATTATTTTTTATATATCAACATTGATCTCTATGAAAAGATGACGAAAAATTGTGAACAACGGTATATTCAGTTTTTTTTCTTATAAAAAACATGGCTTAAAAAAATTTAAACGAAAAATAGAGGTGATCAGTTTTTTGGTAAAAATGTGGGTTTTATGGTATAATCTAGTATATGTGTATTCAATGTATAAGTGTACATCCATTCTGTTGGTCATTGATCATTATGATTTCCAACGTTCACGATTGCTTCATTGACCAATCTATATTTTAATACAAAAGAAACTATAATTAGTGGTGTTTTTAAGTATGTGAACTTGAACAGATATTTTCAAAAAGTGTAATGACAAAGAGGGAGTTTACATGGATACCTTAACCAATGATGTTCAAGGCTTGATTGACTTGTACGAGGCAACCTATATGAGGATGCCAGGTGAAGTTACACTAGATGATGCTCTTATTTTCACAAAAGCTCGACTTGATGACATAGCAAAAGATCTTCATTGGGCCAACAATATTGACACGATTAACCAAATACAACAAGCATTAAAACAACCTATACGAAAAAGGTTGCCAAGACTAGAAGCACTACGCTACATACCTTTCTACCAAGAACAAGCTTCTCATAACAAGTCTTTACTAAAACTTTCCAAGTTAGGGTTTGACTTGCTTCAGTCGCTACACAAGAAAGAGCTTAGTCAACTTACCAAGTATGATACACCCTTAGCTAGCTCCTTGATCTTTCCTTCATTAAACATCTAGTTGGCCATGAAATATAAATTTTGGGCTCTTTTCTTTTCTCTTGTTATTGTTTGATTATGTACCACACTAATTAACCATAGGTGGTGGAAAGTTTACGATGTGGCAAAGAATGTACCTTACGCAAGAAATAGATTGGTTGAATGTTACTTTTGGGCACAAGGTGTGTACTTTGAGCCTAAATATTCTCGATCCAGAATTTTCTTAGCAAAAGTTCTTGCTGTGATAACTATTTTGGATGATACATATGATGCTTATGGAACCTATGAGGAGCTACTTATACTTACGGACGCAATTCAAAGGTATATATATGCAGTATTAATCAACAATATTCAGTAATTGGTTAACCTTGGAACCAAAATATTAAATATATATATATACTCATCATAAATTTTCTATGTATAGGTGGTCGATTACGTGCTTGGATGTGCTTCCAGACTACATGAAACTCATATACCGCATGGTTTTGGACGTTTTTACAGAGATGGAGCAAATCTTGGCAATTGAGGGTAAAGCATATCATATAGACTACGTGAAAGAGGCTGTAAGTTTCTACGCCATTCATTTATTTTATACTACTTAATTATATCTTTCTTTGTAAGAGTAGATTTAATAAATTCTTAATTCTTAGACTTACATGTGACAATGGTAAGGTTTTCAATATATGTATTTGGAAATTTGTATCACTGCAATTATATGTTTTAATAAGTCATGTCGTCTTTTTTAGTTATATTTGAAGACTTTTAAATGTCATTTTATTTTGATTATCTTCAAGGATTCCCCGTTTCTACTTTTAATTTAGAAAACCAATCTTGCATTTAAAAATTGGTGTGTAAAAATGAGTATCATGTATTTTCTAATATATCATACTTATAATTTTTGCATTTCTCGAAAGATTGTTGATCAGGTTGCATTTGATTGTACATATTTTTGATTTACTCAGATGAAAGAATACATGAGAAGCTACATGAAAGAAGCCGAATGGAGAAATGAAGGGTATACTCCAACAACCGAAGAGCACATGTCGATCAGTTTGATTAGTTGTGCCTACAAATTCCTGCTAATAGCAAGTTTGGCTGGAATGGGTGATATAATCACAGATGAATCATTCAAATGGGCTTCCACTTATCCTCCTCTTGTCAAAGCTTCTTGTAAACTTTGTAGGTTCCAGGATGATATCGTCTCCCACAAGGTACATCCAACTTGGTTACTTTACTTTAAGAACACTTTTAAAGGTTAAAATGTGTTAATGATGATGAACATGCATGCAGGAAGAGCAAGAAAGAGAGCATGTTGCCTCTGGAATTGAATGTTACGTGAAGGAGTTTGATGTGACTACGGAACATGTCTATGATGTGTTCAAAGAAAAAGTTGAAGATGCATGGAAAGAAATGAATCGGGAATCCCTCATGTGCAAAGATGTTCCAATGCCTATAATTATGCGCACAATTAATTTGGCACGTGTAATTGAGGTCTTGTACAAGTATTCAGATAATTTCACACATGTCGGGGAAGAAGTGCAAAACCATATCAATTCACTTATGCTCCACCCTATGAGTTCATCTTCTTCATGACGTGTGTCTGATGTATGTGGAATTTGATCCATTATCATAAAGATCCGATTGATCTTGCGGATGTTGAGCATGACCTCATGTGCTTAGCTATGTGGCGACTATGTGTTTAATATTATTATCAAAATGGTTTTCTTTTGGTGTTTGTGTTTCAGAATTTGCATAATAAAGTGTGATTAAGTTCAAAATTATACCATTATATATTTGTCCACCTTAAGTTAATTCTCATTAGATAATAACGAAAAATAAAAACATGGACTCGATGAAAGAGCAACAGCAGCAACATAAAGTTCAAACACACTCAATATTTTCATCATACAAACAGCAATTGACGAAAGACGATTTACTCTCAAAATCTCGATTAACATCAAGCGACAAAACTAGGGGGAAAAGGGAACAAAAGGGTGTTAATTACAATGAAACAAATGAAAACAACACAAAAACTTAGAAAGAAAAAGAAGAACAAAATTGAAATCCAAAAGAAATGGAATATAGACAAAAAGATGTGATCACTAGCGGTGAAGAATCCAATGGAATAAACATTGGTGGTTAAGAAAATACGAAGCAGTCTCTGGTTTTGGGGGAAAAACTCTGGCACTGAAACTACATTAATCTGCAAGAACAACTTCTTTCAATCCCATTATCATATTCATCATCTGACCCACTGTGTTCACTGCAAATATATGCCAAAAATTCACCCAAAGTGTTTGAGAAACAATAATGATCAAACAAACAATATACGAGAAAGTGACATTGACACCACAGTTATAAAGGAGGGCAAATTAGTAAAAAGACACATATGACATACCTGGGCTCAAATTCCCGGACCATAAAAAGATCACCCCCTGAAACATCCGTCCATTGAACTCTCCTTTGTTTTTGTTTATGAATATGATCCACACCATTTTTTTCATTTTGTTGTATTTGTACATGTTTCCCCTCACCTTCATTCTCACCCTCTTTATCAACAGCAACAGAGACTGAAATAGTTCTTGCAGGTCTCCTCAAGCTGTTTCTAAGCAAACATGTGTTTCTGACATTAATATCATCATCATCATCATCATCAACAACATCCAAATGAATGACTTTTTCTTTGACTTTTTCCAAATCAGGACTTTTGAGAGGATCCTGCAGGTCTTGGTGGTGGTGGTGGGTAGGGCCCACTTTTAAAGGGCAGGGACTATCGAGTCCAGCGGCTGCGCGACCAAAGCAGAGATAGGAAGCGCAGCCGCGGATAATACGGTTCTTGTTGGAAGCCAGATGAAGGCCGGAATCGGAATGATGGAGGCCGGAATCGGATTGATGGAGGTCGGAATCGGATTCTTGGTCCACCAACTGGTACTGATTCCAGGGTGTAACTCTCATGGGGGTTTCTTTGGTCTTTTTACCCAAGAGTAGAAGGGTTAGGCCCTTACTATACCCTAAAGCTGAAGATGAAAAAAACCCTCCTCCTTCCACTGATAATAACATCAGATTTTCTCATTTGGGAACATCATAAAAACTTTTTGTTACCAAAATGTAATTCAAACCACCTGCAATGTAACCAGTAATTTCAATTATTCAATCCATAAATGAAAGAAATTTATCAAATGTGAGGCCCATTATCATATACCATTCTTATAGACTCAAGTAAACAGATATAATCAATCCCACAAAAATATTTCAAGAAAATTGAGAGAATCAACTGTTCTTTCGGCTAATAGGGAGGGATTCAGACGAAAATGAAATGAAACCACATTGGAAGAGGTGTTTGAGATGATTGGATGATTATCCAATAAATTCCACAAAAGTCAAAGTAAAGAACCAAGAGTCCGCCATTGTCGAGAAGCTAAGATCAAAAAACATTAGTTGATCTTCAAAACTAGTTGAAACTTCAGCTACGGTTTCAACAAGAAATTGCAAGGCCAACGGAGCTTGTCCCCCAATGGCGCCGGAGAGGTTCGATCCCAGTCCTTTGATAAAAAGAAAACAAAAAGCCAACAAATCGTATCGGGGAAAATTTGTAGGAATCGTAAAGATTGAATCCGAAACAGACGATGAAACTGCGACCTAAAGCACAGAATCAGATTCGGTAGTACTAATTAACAAAACACTGATTCATAATCGCATTCATGGAACTAATACAAACTCAAGATCATAATTCAAGTGTGAAAAACCCTAACTGAATTCGAATGCTGTAGAGTTGGATGACAAGGTAAAAAATCCAGAGATTTATCGGAGGGAAAGTGGAACTCACGTATATGAAAGAAGTAAAAGATGGTTTTCCGATAGTTAGCGTATCTGCACCACCTTTCTGTAATTAATACTTCATCGTCTCCGATGGCCGGAAAATCTTTGGAACACAAAATGACAGCGGAGTGGTGGGGAGGTTTTTGTGTTGTGTAAATGGTTAAAATTAAGGTGTCCCATTCCTCTATGCATTAATACTTTATTGTTTTTTCTTTTTCTCTAAAAGATCTATAAAAATAATTTATTTATATACTTTTTGTAAGTAAATCATGTCACGTTTAAATTTTTATTGATTTTTTTTTTTCAAAATTGACTTGTCAATTAATTTATTCTTTATTTAGAAAACGATAAAAATAATCATTTACACTAATTACATTACAAAAATAGCCAAAAAAATCGAAATTATAAAAATAGCCAACAATTTCGCAGATGGAAATACCCCATCTACGAAATCACCATTTCATCTGCGAATGTACAAGCAGCTAAAGCACAGCTGTGCTTCAGCTGCTTGTACATTCGCATATGGTTTTTTTTTTTAATTTTTTTTCTCTATATATATATTGAAAATGTAGGGGGTGAAATCGCATATGGAAATACTCCATCTGCGATTTACTCTAATCCAATCTATGAAATTGTGACTTTTTATATTGCTATATAAAAAGTTTTGTATAAAATTATCATTTTGGTTGTACAACTTATATTTTCAAATATAAAATACGCATATATTTTCATATATGTAGAGAAAAAAATTATTAAAAAAAAAAATCACAATTTCGCAGATGGGATGAGAGTAAATCGCAGATAGGGCATTTCCATCTGCGATTTCACCCTTACATTTTCAATATATATAGAGAAAAAAAAAACCATATGCGAATGTACAAGCAGCTAAAGCACAGTGCTTTAGCTGCTTGTACATTCGCAGATGGCATGGTGATTTCGCAGATGGGGCATTTCCATCTGCGAAATTGTAGGCTATTTTTGTAATTTCGATTTTTTTGGTTATTTTTGTAATGTAATTAGTGTAAATGACTATTTTTGTCATTTTCTCTATTTATATGCATTAGTTGACACAACTGTCAAATGTTTGTTTTTGTTTTTAAATAGAAACATTTATCATAAACACAAATTTAAATCATATCAGTCATGTTTATATTTGTTAGATTGAGTCAATTTAATTGGATTAATACCTAATTAAATCAGAACAAATAAAATATTATATGACTAAATCAAAGACTTTTAAATTTAATCGAGCTAATTCAATCTTTCACCAAACTTGATAAAAAAAACATATCAAATAATCTTAACATTCGTTATAAGCGAGCTTTTTTTTAGATTTACAAAAAAATAATTACCATTTGGCGAAGTAGAATATTAACATTTGGAAAGAGAGCAAAGTAGGTGTGCCTTAAAATGATTTAATTTAAGGCTTCCATTTGGTTTCTATTCCTTAAAAGACAGAATTTATAAAATATATTATTATTCATATTAAATACGTATATGACATCATTTAAATAGATTATTAAATTTGGTACGTATAAAATGGTTCGATATCAGGTTCATTTTTCATTTTGTTTAATTGGTTTTTCTCTTATTCGCATCATTAGATAATAAGTTTGATGATATATTTAAAAAAAGAAAAAATAAATACAGTTTATTCCATTTTTCTTTGCTTATCAAATTAAAGATATTTATAAAAAGGGGTAGCAAGATAATTAAAAAAGAAAAATAAAAGGATATTTAATTTCTCTTATAAATTGTATACTTGAATTTTCATCAGGATATTAGCCCATCTTTATTTTTACAACCACATTGAGTCATTGAGGTGTGATCTCATAAATCTAAATCTAATAAATAATTAATAGAATAATCTATGTTTTAATTCACGAAGAATGACCTTTTTCCATTATATGATATGTTCGTATAGTAGGAAACCCAAAACCATTGGTTGCCAAAATACTTGGCCGACGAAGTTGAAACTTGTGTTTGAGAATTCAGATAAGATTCAACCACGTTACTCTAAATATCTAACAATAAATTCATTGTTAGATATAGTTTTTCAATTTCTCACTATCTTTTCACAAAATCACCTACAAAATGTTACAAACACTTAGTAGCCTTGGTTTAATACCTTTAATAGTGCAATATTTTTTATTTTATTTTTTCTAAATTAGTCTAATGGGCTCGACTAAAATGGGCCTAAAAAGCCCAAACCGTGAAACCAAACCGGAGCCAAACCGTTAGTAACGGCTTGGTTTGGTTCGGTTTTAATTTTTAATGGCTTGGTTTTGGTTTTCGCTTGACAAAAACCGTTACTAACGGTTTGGCTTCGGTTTTACCTAAAAACCGAAAAAACCGGACCGTGAACACCCCTACTTAGTACTAAGGTTTTGTGTGGTGTTATGATCTTACCAAATTATAATTTAATTTTTGTGTTATATTTAGTAGAGATAGCTAAAATACTAACTATTAGTTGATAAATTAGTTGGCTGATAAATAATAATATTTGATAAAACTATATGAAATATACAAAATGATATAAAAATGAATGTAAACAATTAATTTATTTTGTAATTAATAAATTGTATATTTGGGAGAATCTTAAAAAAAAAAAATTTGAAACCTTGTCACTTTAAAAAAAAAAAAAAAACTAGTTTATAAGTTATTTTTTTTACCAAATATGTCATTGTCTCCAGTACAGATCCTATGCTTCCAGTAGTACGGTCCAATACTACCTTCCACACCTGTATCTACCTTCCTTAAGAGTTGTCCCGATTCCTCTAAGTCACCACACTAAATCCATATACCAATCCTATGCTATACACCACACAAAATCTACCATGACATTACCTATGCTCTCCTAGGAATTCTCAAATTGACCGCCTCTACAATACAAAGAATCTCAATCAACACTGACGGTTGCCTTATGCATGCAAGTTATACATAAAATGGGATCACATAGACTGTCAAATAATGATTATACCCTAAGTCCACAACCAAACAATGATCAGGAAATGAGGCTAAATTGATCATTCTAGGACTATATGATCCTAATTATATACAACTTTTAAAGAATACACTTAGCAATTAACTGAGCCGATATCAATTCTAAGCAATACATAGCATCCAAATCCCCTAGGCTATAAGGCATCACACAAATCAGGCAATTTTATCATACGATTCCTAAAGGTACCCTTACCTCTATTTTAGCATGTAATTCATATACTAGGAATACTAATCACAACACATAAATATGGGTATTTTGGGAATCACTTATTTGATCTCGGCTGATTGTACACATCGCACCCCCCTTTTACTTGGTGAAAATCTTTTAGAATTTAAATTTCTTTTTGAAAAGATTATCATTTCCTCATTTTGAGTTCTGACACACCCGAAAGTGTATCCGAATCCCTCAAACCAAGGCTCTGATACAAACTTGTAACATCCCAAAATTCATAAGAAAAATTTTCATTTTAAATTCTTCAATACCAAACATCACGTCTCAAAATCATCCAAAATAAAAACTAGCACAAATATCAGAGTAAAAGAGATCATAAAAGCGGAAATCATGAGGGGGAGAATGCTGTGTCATCACGTCGGGACCTTCCCTTTTGTATCGGAAGTACCTGAAGCCGAAAACATAACTGAAAGCACAAAGTTTAGTGAGCTTCCCCAAAATACCACATACATCAGACATATAAATATAACAACATGTGGCAGTATCAAGTTCGTATCAACCCCAAGTAACATCAAATTACCATGTCGGGTTCGTATCAACCCCCAAGTACGTATCGACCCCAAGTCCATAATGACTCTGAGCCTAGATTGGCTCCATGCATACATCATACAACCACGTCAGTAATAGTCACATAATCACATACTTTCTACACATACGAATCAGTGGGTCGGCCTTGGTACCTTCGACCTACTAGTATAGTAAGAAGACTCACATCTAACTAAAGATAACTGAATCTCACACTCGAGTTATTGTTATCACGACTCCTCACACTTCTGGAGGTTGCTAGAGGTGTGCTAATCTTGGATATACAATTTTGTGGAGCTTCCAAGAAAACACTAAGGATCTCCTTCATGGAACATGGGCATTATAATTAGTATGCCATGATATCATGTCACGTCATCAAAATTTACACATTATCATACCACGCCAAAAGTAAGCCGGTTGATCAGTCAAGTGGTCATAATTGTAACAAATTGAAAATGCAGTGTCTAATTTAAGACAAAAAATAACACAGTGTCAAAATTGAGTTTTCATGTAAACTTAATGACTTTTTTCTAGTATTTACCTTTTTTATACTATTTTTTAGTAGTTATATGTTATAATTAAATTTGAACAACATGATTAATAGAAATAAAATTTAAAAATTTAAAAAAAAAAAACTTAAAAGAACTAGAAAAACCCAAGAAAAAATGATTGCTAGTTTTTCTTAAATAAAAATCAATATGATCATAGCCAAAAACCCAAACTAAAACCAACCTAAATACCTAAATGATTTCTCAATTGATTTGTGAAGAAGTGAATATAGTAGAATCTTCCATTTGATTATGGAAAGTTATTTGGAAACCTTATTAAACCCAACATATTTTAATCAAAGTCTTAAAAAACCCACTATATACTTTTTTTTGTATGTTAAAACATTTATATTTTTAAAATGTATGTTAAAACCCTTATATATTTTTTAAAAATTATCATTTAAGGTATTGAGCTTGGTAAATCCTAGATAGTTAAAAATGTTATGTAATAAATTCACAAGGTTTTGATTGTTACAACTCATTAGATTAAAAATTTTCAAAAAAAAAATGAGGGTTTAAATGCATTACAAAAAATTATATAATGTTTTTTTTTTTTATTTCTTTCATGAAAATAGATTAGGTTTTTCTAAGTGTAGAAAACCTTAAATAAGAATTTCAGAAAATATAAGGATTTTAAGCACTAAAAAAAATAATATAATGGTTTTTTTTAAGCTTTTGATGAATATACATTGGGTTTTATAATGTTTTCCCAAAATTATTTTCAGTTTTTTTGAATAGTTTTTAGAAAAAAATAAGTGGAGTTTTCAATTTTAGTTTTCAGCAGAAATTTTAGAAAATACAATTATTTAAAGTTGATTGATTTTTCATGTTTTTTTCTTAGAAAATTAGAAAACATGTTTGGATGAGTATTTTGTATCAATTTTTGTTTTTTTTTAA